TCTATCTATCTATCTATCTATCTATCTATCTATCTATCTATCTATCTATCTTTATCTCTCCTCTTACACACACACACTTGGGGATGAGGAATGACTCAATAAAAGGATCCCGATTTTCTCTTAGTAGCAGTCCTGTGTAGCTAATTGTTCAACAAACACCCAACCCCTTTGCAGCTGAGACCACGTGACTGGGAGGGAAGAAGTCAGAAGCAACAGCAGATTTTGAACTGGTGGGCAGCTTCTAACACTTGCTGCTTCTGGTGACTGGACACTTTTCACTCCTTCAGCCTTCCCCATACCCCTGTCACCAGATTCTTCCGTTGAGAAGACCTGAGTGGTTTGTTTCTCTGCCTGAACACTGACATGCTGCCTCCTCCACCTCCTTTCCTTCCAAGATCCTAGGGTCTTAAAGCATGCCTTGGCTGCTTATCTTAGAATCAGAGCCAGACCATTGATTCACTGGGTTCTGAGATTGGCCTGTTTTTGCCAATCTCAAAATAACAAAAGCATTTATAAGCCCCATGCTGGCTGGTTTCTATGTCAGTGTGACACAAGAAGAGTCATTTTCGGAGAGGAAACCTTGACCGAAATAAATTCCCCCACCAGATCTGCAGGCGAGGCTGTGGGGCATTTCTTTGAGTGATGGTTGATGTGGGAGAATCCAAACCCCTGTGGGCAGGTGCTATAAGAAAGCAGGCTGAGCAAGTGAGCAAGCTGCACCCTTCCGTGGCCTCTGTGTCAGTTCCTGCCCTGGCTTCCCTCTGGACTGAGGGACTGCGTGGTGGTTGGAGTAGGTGTGGCCCCCATACACTCGGTGTGTTTGAATGCTCGGCCCATGGGAAATGGCACTATTAGGAAGCGTGGCCTTGGTGGAGGAAGTGTGTCACTGTGGGGGCGGGCTTTGAGGTCTCCTATAGGAAAGCTATGCCCAGTGTGACACTCAGTCCCCTTCTGCTGCCTTCGGATTGAGATGCAGGGTTTCCTCCTTCTCCAGCACCGTGTCTGCCTGCATGCTGCCATGCTTCCCGCCATGATGATAATGGACTAAACCTCTGAACTCTAAGCCAGCCCCAGTTAGAGTTGCCGTGGTCATGGTGTCTCTTCGCAGCAATGGAACCCAGACGAAGACAGACCATAAATGTGGAACTGTAAGATGAAATCAACCATTTCCTACACCAAATTCTTTTAGTCACGGTGTTTTATCAGCGCAATAGAAACCTAACTAAGACAAACCCTCAGACGGAAGCCCTTTACTAAAATGACTAAAACCTTGTGGGATACTAAAACAACATAAACAAAACCAGCAACCATCCTGGGAACTGCTTTTGCACAGACTGGGTAATTAATTTAAATCTGGGCACCAGCAGAGTCCCCGGAACCCTAAAACCTCACGGCAGTGATTGGGTATCCTCAGTGGGACAGGAGAGGTGAAGGGTCACACACGTGCTGTGCTGGCTGCAGCTGCCCAGGACCTGTGGCTGGAGCGGCCATTTAGAAGCTGCTTTTGACCAGATCCACTGACTTCCTCACTTGGGCCCAGAAGGTAAAAAAGCCTGCCATCTCTGCCTTCACCTTGTGTCTGGCTTCCTTACTGTGGGTCACAGGCTCATCTCCCGGGTACATTAATCATGCAAGGAGTGTCTGTCTGGCCTAGCCCTTCAAGGCTGAAGGCACAGAAGTAACTTACTGTTCTATCTAGCCGCCCTGAGTTCCAGCAATAGCAGATCCGCATGGGGCACCCGACGAAGGCAGTTATCCATAGTGGTGACAGTACACCCTGGAGCAGAAGTGATCACACCGAGAGCCAGACTGCTCCCCTGACTGCCAGTCACAGCAACAAGGACTTTCTTAGGCCACGAATTGCCAGGCCACGCCCTGACAAGGACTGCTCACTTACGCATACTTCTCACTCTCTCGCTCTCTCTGCCCCCAAATCTTTCTCTGTCCAAACCTAAAACTCGTATCAGTGCTCCCAAAGATGGCCTTGGGGGTCACTGAGGAGGCAGAAAAAAAAAAATCAAGAAACAGGAGAATATCTAAGATCCAGGGTTACAGGGCCTGGTTTCGCGATGACTGAACAGATATACCTATGACCTCAGCCGAAGCTAGACAACTACACTGCTTGAGACAAAATAGCCCAAAGGTGGTTCCTTCTCCCTACCCTAAACTAACAAACCCAGGAAGGGCCTCAAAGGGAGTCCTGCTCACTAGAGGCAGAGAAGAACAGGCCAGGGGATGGAGGAAGGAAGGCAACGAAGGACTGGGGGTGAGGAATGGAGGGAGGGAGGACAGGGGAGGGAGGAAGGAGGACAGGAGGAATGGAGGGAGGAATGACAGGGGCAGGATTGGGGAGGAAGGGCAGGGGAGGGATGGAGAGAGTTTGGATAATGGGAAGTTGGGGCATAAGGTCAGGATGGAGGAACTAGTGTTTCCTAGCACCAGGAGTGACTATAGTCTGCAAAGATTTGTTACATGCACCTAAAGAGAAGAGCTTAAAGGTTTCCGGCACAAAGAATCATGGGTGTTTGATATGGAAGTGCTAATCACTGCTATATGATTATTCCATCATATATTTAAAATAGTATTGTGCTGGACCTCATACAGATGTACATGTTTTGTGTTAATTAAAACTTTACTTTTGGACCAGCAGTTAACAGTGCTTGCTGCACAGACCTGATGGCCTGGGCTCAATACCGGGATCCACAATGAAGGGAGAGAATTGTTTCCTGAGAGTTGTCTTTGGACCTCCATATGTGTGCCATGGCATGCGCGCTCTCCCCTTCTCTGTCTCTCTCTCTCACACACACACATACACACACTCACAAATAATAAAACTTACTTTTAAAAGCTAGATGAGAGAAGGGAAAAGGCAGAAGGAAGAGTGCAAAGGAGGAAAGGAGTGAGAGAAGGGGAGAAGAAGGGAAAGAAGCAAGAGATAAAGGAAAGGAGAGAGAGGGAGGAAGGAAGGGAGGGAAGGAAGGAGGGAGGGAGGCAGAGAGGGAGGGAGAGAGGGAGGGAAAGGCCTCAGGATAACCGGAGTCAATTAGGCTGAGGAAGCAGAGGCCCTGAGAGACTCTGGTCAGCACTGACTGCCGGTTCTCAGCTCGGCTGACGTCTGTGTTTATTCATTACTAATTCATCTGTCTTTCACAAACCACAAATTCGGAAGCTCAAGGACTGATGTGGCTCAGAGCAAGGACCCTGCCACCGGAGGTTGTCCTTGAACAACGGCACCAAAGAACAGGGCTGGTGAACCCAGAATTGATCACTAGGATCCCAGTCTCAAAATGGAGCACACAGTACAACTTCCTGTCTCTGCTTGTGTCAGCTTCCTGCCAGGGCCTGTTATGGCTCTATTATTATTAGAGACAGTAATAACAGAAGCTATCAGCAATGGAAAGAGTTATCAGTCTGCTTCCAAATCAGTGTTCCCCTTTAATCCTCACAATCCTGGGAGACAGAGCCCTGGGAGACAGGCAGGTTGGAGCTGCCTACAGCTGAGAAGATACCCGGGTACCCAAGTCTTCCAGCTGGGGCTCTAACGGGGGTGTAACTTTACCCTATATCATACTTGATAAAGGCAATATGTCCTTTTTTTCCCTAAGTGTGGGTCCTAATATGCTGGTCCTAACTCTGTCCAGCTGGTCCACCCTGTGAATGCTTGTGTGACTGTGTTCATCTTCCACTCCGAAGGCCTTGGAAAGTTTCCCCTCACACACTAGTACATCGCCCCGAAGAGTGCTTTACATCTCTTGCAGGTTCAAACTCAGGACACTCCTTACCTTGAAAAAGGAAGCGCTTGGAGACAGCTATTACTGTGTTTCAGGATGTTGGTGGTGAGGAACCTTCCGCCTCTTTTTACAAAATGATCAAAAGACTAGATCTATAAGGCTTCTTCCAGCCTGTTCACCAGAGCGTGGGCAGGAACTCTTCCTAGCTCTGATCATGGTTACAATTCCAGTGTTCTTAGAGAGGAGTTCCCCCTAAAACCAAAACCCGGTGATAGAGAAGATAGACAGACAGACAGAAAGCAAAAAGGAGAGAAGGAGAATGAAAGGGAGACCCTTAGCATAAAATGTCAGTAAGTACCCACAGAGTCCCCAGGGAGTGTCACACTGCCCCCCACATGCCCCTTAGGAACACTAGCATCAGCACCTAGTCCAGCCACAACGCACATGCCAGGCCATCCCACCTCACACGCCTGTCAGAGTTACTTTTTAGGAGGGTGTGGTCCAGACTAGTCAACCAGCTCAGCGGCTGCCTGAGCAGGCATGGTGAGGGGCAGAGCCATGAGAGGACAGTGGGATGTCAGTCCTCCCCCCTGTGCACACGTGACCCCTCCTCTTGCCTGGAGGAGGACACAAAGGATGAAAAAGGTGGCTGGGATGAGAGGCTCCAATGCTAAGCCAATTCTGGGCCATCTTTCCATGTGTCATGGGGTGCTCTGATCCCAGATGTTGGCAACTGCCTTTAGAACATAGTTGCCCTCAGCTTTGGACTATCAATAATAATAATAATAATAATAATAATAAGAAGAAGAAGAAGAAGAAGAAGAATTTCATTCAGTGGTTCGTACCGACATGCACAGAAAGTA